GCACCTAATTATGTTACCACAAAAATTTTTAATTTTTATGTAAAAAAGGCATTTTAAATATTTCTCAATTACCAGAAAGAGTGAGGATACAAATTTTTGCCACATGTTAAACACAATATGGACCAAAATAGTGCGTCAGGATTTTTCTTTAAGTTTCATATTTACTGAGAAAAATGGAAAAAAAACTGCTTAAAAATCAAGTTGTGTGTTAGAATTGAAAATTTTAGCGAATAAAGAGGCATAACTAATAAAATACGGCACTTAATAACAATCCCTGACACACTTTTTTACAGCAATATGTTGCCATTAAAACGAGTGTAAAATTAAATTAATCTGAGTTGTAATAACGGAGGAATATAGAATTCTACGTTTGCTTTTTCAAGAAAGGATTTTGCTTCAATAAATTTGGCTCTAAAGAGTATACGTTCCCGTTTTGCACCAACCTAGCTAAATTTATGTCTGTGAGATTAAGATTGTGATTAATGTTCTTTATTAAATCGCTATCAAATGTAGTTACCATATTATCCACAATATAGGTGCGATATAGAATATGGAACAGATATAGAAAGCAAAACCATGTAACACGTATCTATTATTTATTATTTATTATATTATATTACATTAAATCTTTATCTAAATCGTTGTTTTATCTCTAATGTTCAACATTAACAGGTGCCACCTACTTGTGCCGCACTCTGACGAGTCAAATGTATTGTGCGTGATATGACCCGTATGCTATCACCCACGCAAACGAACAACGGGGAGTTGCTGCGTCGATCCAGACAGATGGCGACATCTAGCTGCGCAAGAGAGTACCAAAGAAATCCGAACCGCAAGTATTAATATTTGCATTGGTATTTTCAAGAGGCATATAACTACAGGTTTGACCAGAAGGAGATCACAATTATTGTTCGAGAAGGTAAAATTATATTTCAATCTCCCTGCAGTGTTTTCTTGATCAACGTTCAAATCCAGTGTGTTTTGCAAAAGTGAACGAACGCGTTCACTGTACCGCGCTTACGCCATGGAATCGCCTGGCATCACGTTATGAACATAGAAAGAAATACACTGCTCTCTGGCACAAGAGCCCGGCAACAATACACGAAACAACTAACAACAACAACAACAACAGCAGCGCACAAGCAACGCACTCGCCTTCTGTCTTGCCTTTCGCGAGGTTGAACTATCAAAGTAAGAAAGCAATGTTGGCAACAGCAGCCAGGCATGGAACACGAGACACGACACGCTCACACCTAAACGTGCACTGTGGCTCAACACTAGCGGAGAACGGGAGATGCTGGGTTTGTCGACCTTCGAACAAACGACGTTCGTCGCCCACACAACGGTCCAAACGCGCGGTAAGATAGCAGTCGAAAGTCTTTGGCAACCATTTATTTAAAAAAATGAAGGTTTGATGACCGGTGGTGATGATGATGGTGATTGATAACGCATGTTGATGATTATGCGGCGACGATGCACGACGAACGACGAACGATGACAATGTGACAACGATGAGGCGACGGCGATGATAAATATCGAGGATATTCTAATGACGATAATGCCACCTTGCGTTCGTTTGCTGCTTGCTCAGCCTGATGTTAAAGTGTAAATCGCGCACGCGTCAGCTCTTTAGCAATCAATCCATCTCCAGTTGTCGCCGCCAGTGATCATGACATTAATGCTCTGCCATGGTCATGTAATTGAAGTCACACTTGTTTGTTCACAATTGAACCGGAAATAGCAAATATACGAATATATTGCGCCAATTAATCCATAAATAAAGTGAACAGAATCTACTTACAGTGTGCATCCCTGCAATAAAGTGGACATAATTTTTAGCTCACCTTGACCATCGGTCAAGCCTGAGCTATTGCCATGGATTGCTCGGTCTGTCGTACGTC